ATCCTTGCTCCAGGTTCATAGGGTTTCCAGAGGCAAGCTATTTATGGAAGTGGATGTCACTCCTGCTTCCAAGATTATCAACGATTTTAAGTACGACAATAACATAAACACATATTTACACAGGCACACACATATGTCTCTCTCATGTGTCTTATATCTGAAATTGAACAAAGATGTGAGGTGAAGGTAATGTGAAGAAGACAGAAATAGATCAGCTAGAAATTTATAAAAGTGGCAAGAAGCAAAGGGTTCATGAAATTACAGTGAATATGTCAATTATCAAACAATACAGAAATATGTGAGTAGAAACTTATAAAAGTTTGGTGGGTGGAGGGAGGGGGAAGCAAATGGGAAGGATCTGGGTGAAAAGACAGGGTCCTGATGGGCAAGGCCCAATGGTGATAAATTATATAAAACATAATGCATGAGAATGACTGTGTGAAATGTAATGCAACTGAAGAATAGTGTGGCATACAACGTACATAAACTTCGTAAGCAAACCAATTAAAAAAAGTGAAATAGAGGCCAACTTCTCTGATCTGTCCTGCCAGTCTGTCTCTGTCTGTCTCTCTCCCTCCAGCCTGGGGCAGAAAACCTCACCCGAGAGCTAGAAAGCCCCAATAAAAGCTTTCTTCCTTAAAAAAAAATTATATTTTTTATATATATAAAATAGAATGTGTATGAATGATTGTATGAAATACCATGTAAGTGAAAGCATAAAACACCATGTATATGAATGAAATATAATGTAAAGGAATATGAAAACTAATACAATATTTTTTAAAAAGTGGAAAGTAAACAAATGAAGGTCACTATATTACAGTGAATATATCAATTATTAAATAATACACAGTATTGTTGCTGTGTACCGTGGACTCGGAATCAACCCATAGCTGATTCTCTAGTAGGTAGAGGAAGTTAATTGCACAGGAGGAGATTAACCATCCTTCTCCCACAAATACACAGTAAGACCGCATATAAAATAAACTACAAATAAATGCATTAATAATAAAGCAAATTGTATGCTAAAGTCTCTCCTTGGGACCAAGACAATGACCTACAAAAGCTGTTATCTGTCAGGCTGAACTAATATGCTAGGCTTTTGGTCTTTTCAACAGCTCTCTTTTCTAAGACAAAATATTTTGATCACGTCATCCATTAAATTACCCCTCCAGGACATACGAATAGTGACAGTGCTGTCCCAAGACTGGTGTGAAACTTAGCATAAGAAGAAACCCCAAAAAGCATCATCTTACATAAAACTACTCATACGTACAACCTTAAAGGGCTGCCAAGTGGAGATTCCAGTCAGAGACTAGAAGCTCAGAAGAGTTTGCACACTGACAGACTTAATAACTGTTAGCCGAGACATGGAGGCTGTAGGGTTAAAAGAAGGGTTAGAGGGTAGGGGTAGGGAACAACAGAGATGGGAAGTGGAGCACTGGATAACTGTATTCTCAAAAAAGGTGGCTCAGAATACCATAGCAATGGGAGACATTTCTCAATTTATTTCAAAAACTGAGGTAATTTGGATTAAGTCTGTTAAAAATAAATTAGGAAATACTCCTATCAGCAAATCTAAAGAAATTAAACAAATGTTTTCATTTCTTCAAATGGAAGATTTTTAGACATTTGTCATCATTACTGCCATCATCATCACCATTGTGCCAAATAAAATGACCTTTAGGGTAGGTACAATTCAGTTATTTTATATTAGAGATATGCTGGAAGTAGATCATTGAAGGTTTATGTTTCTGTTCTGTCACTTACACTATCTGTGTGAAATGTAGCTATCGCCTTGATTTTTTATTTTACTTTTTTAATATGTCAAATATATGTTAGTAGACATATTTAAAAAATGGAAGATTTTTTAACATTGAAAAGATTTACTAAAAAAGTTTTTTTTAAAAAAATAATAATTAAACTCTTAAACCAGTTACATATCAAAATCCCTCAGTCCCTGGTGCCTATTCTAAGGATATTCACATCTGAATCAACCGCAGCCCGAACGGATCCTTGTTGGCTGGTTTTCAGTCCCGGGCGTTTCTAACGTGCAGCTGGAAGTCACTAACATTCCTATCAATCACAACAAAGCCCTGGAAGCACACACGCCAACTTCCACGTCGAGGCCTAATGACGGCGTGACTAAGACAAGCTAGAGAAAAAACTTTCCTCTTTAGAGTCAAAGATTGTACAGCAGGAGCTATTCACCTTTTTAAACTTTGAGAAACAAAATCTCCTTTAGCTCTAATTCAAGACCTTGTTTTGGAACTTGCAATTTATATTCTCTGATAACTTCAAACCAAAGTCTATCTTTTTATATCAGTGGTTCCCAGTAGGAGAGGGAGGAAAGAAAGGGGTGTGGCTGTCTTCCAGTCAGGGGATACATGGCAATGTCTGTTGACATCTGTGGTCATCACAACTGAGGAAAGTGGGTGCTTCTGGCACTTAGGAGGTAAAAGCCAGGGAAAGTGCTAAACAGCTTACAGGGCACACGATGGCCACACAGCAAGACCTTCTGCTGATGGTAGGAGTCACTGAGTCAGCTCTGAGCCTCAGCGACTCTATGAGCACCAGGTCTGAGTAACTGTGACAGTTACTGAGTCAGTCCATCTTGTTGAGGTTCTTACTCTCTTTCACTGACCCTCCAACCTGAATGTCCTTTCCCAAGGTCTTGACAGCATGTCCAAAAATATCCATCCCAAAATGACAAGGTGAGTTGAGAATGAGACACTTGTTTAAAACAAACAAAACCAATTTCATTTGAGGTTGGCAGCTCTGGGTTTTCACCCTCGCACATGCAAGAATTTAATGAGGATGGCAGTGGTTTCAACTAGTTTATGGGGTTTTTGCTGGTTCTAGTTCTACAAGTAACCATCACTGACCCTTTGCATGGAAGCCAGACAGACCTCGATGGCATGGCAATAAATACCACAACTCTCAGAAGGATAAGAGAATGATAAACTCAAAAAAAGCTTACAATACTGTACAATTATACCATGAAGCTTCTACTGGTGATAAGTAAAGACTCTTACAAAGAAAACAAGATAGATATTTACTGCATAGCCATTGACCTTTTTTTTCCTTAGTGACAAATACTGTGGTTACGTAGTTTCTGCCCTAACTAAAAACCAATTTTTTTAGAAACATTTTGACAGCTATCATCTACCATGATCTTTTTAAAGTCATACATGGCAGGTACATAAGAAGCTCTGGTTGTCTAGTCTGTACCCAAAGATGGTACCTCTCAGAGCAGCTGGAATCCACCAGCAGCTCTGAGAGAAAGATGGGCAATCTCCTCCTTTGCAATTTACAGCCTCTGAAAACAAACTGGAAGATCAGCCATAAGGCAAGAGTTTGAGAATCAGGTCAAAACTCTCAGTGACTGACAGAAACCCACAGTCAGCAAGTCATTTCTGACTCAGTGATCTTCAGGACAGAATGGACTGCCCTGTGGGCAGATTACCACATCTTCCTCCCAGGAGGTGGCATCAAGCTGCCAACCTTCTGGTTAGGGCCCCAGGCCTTGGGCATCACACCCTCTGGGTTCCTGTCCAGGAACTGAAACAGGACAATGGAAGAAGATGCAGAATAAATTCAATGCTTAACTCTTTTTTTTATTGTCCAACTAAAATCTTTTTTCCTTTTTTTAAAAAAAATTTAAATAGCATTCAGTTTATTACAAATATTTAGTATTGGCTTCCCACCCCATATTTCCCCCCTTTTGTTTTTATCATAAGTATGTTATCATCTAGATGAACATCCTTTATACACAAACAAATTAAACATAATAAACTCAAAGAAATACTTTCAAAAATCTCCATATGACCAGAAGGATTCAGGTTGAATATTCCTTGAAAGTTTAATTGTCCCATTGCCACAGTGCTTGTCGAAACCTGTTCTGATTAATCTCCTTTGCCAGTGTGTCCTTTGTCATTCCCTATCACTCCTCCCTGAGAGATACTTCACCCTGATTCACAAGGAAAAGGGGACGGCGTATTCTCTTAGCTACTTCCTGCTGAAAAGGGACGCTGTAGGTTTCAGGGTGAAGATCTTCTCTAAAGAGCCCCTTAGGCAATAGGAAACACTACTGTGGAGACTGATTTTGGAACCAACTAAAATCTTAAAGGATATTTTCCCCCCAATTGCTTTCCTTTAGATTTTGCCAACTCCTCTTACCCGTACTGAGGGAGCAATCATGTAAAAGTGCACCTTCGCATGGATTCAGGACACGGAATTTTCAATCGCTTGCTCTGCCTCTGGGAGCTGAATAAGGACGGCAGGAGGGCTGATAATTTTGAATTGTGGTGTCAGAGAAGAGCACTGAATATCCCATGGATAGTCAAAAGAACAAACAAGGGGAGCTCTGGTGGCCTAGTGGCAAGGACCTGCAACTATAATCCCAGAGTCGCACGGTTCGAATCCACCAGATGCTCTCCCGGGGAAGGAGGGACTATCTCCTCCTGTACCAGTCAGATCTGATTTGACGGTACACTCACACACACAAAATTAAAAAAAAGAACAAACAAGTATGTTTTGGTTTGCAGCCAGAATGTTCTAGAAGCAAGAACAGTAAAGCTTTGTCTTACAACACAACCATCCCAATTACCCCAGTCACTGAATCAATCTATCTCATAGAGGGTCTTCCCCTCCTGCACTGTCTCTCCACCCTCCCAAGCATGATGTCCGTCTCCAAGGACTGGTCTCTCCTTACAACACGTCCAAAGTATGTTAGATGGAGCCTCAGAATCCTTGCCTCCAAGGAGCCGCCTGGTTTATTCCTCTCTAGGATGAATCTGTTTGTTTTCTTGGCAGTCTGTGGTACATTCAATACTCTTCTCCAGCACCACAGCTCAAAGGCGTCAATTCTTCTGACCTCCCTAGTCAATGTCCAGCTTTCTGATGCATAACAAGTGATTGCAAAGACCATGGCCTGCATCAGACACACCTTAGTCTCCAGAGTGACACCATTGCTCTTCAGTACATTGGCAAGATCCCTAACAGCAGACTTTCCCATCGCAAAACGTTTTATTAATTTCCTGGCTACTGGTGCTGAGAGTGTTGACTGTGGAGTCAAGCAAACTAAAGCTGTTAACAATCCCAATCTCTTCACCATCCATCCTGATGTTGCCAATTGGCCCAGTGGTGAGTGGTACCCTCAATACTAGACAAATTAATAGAGCCACTGGAAGAGAATGAGATCAGAATATTAGAAAACCCTGGGTCCCAAAGATCTATCCAGAACCATGGGAGACTGTCTCTGGGCTTTTGGAAAACCATTCAATTGGCAACCACTAGTCATCATCTGTTGACTCTCGGTGACCTTCTGAGTAACAGAAGTAGATGAGGTCAGGTCCTGCATCAGTAAACACCTTAGAAAGCCCGGCATGAAGTGATGATCACCCCAGTACCTTATAGCACTTAAAAAAAAAAATCAAACCATAACAGCAACTCAAGTTTCATAACTGCTTTACAGAGAAAATTCTGCAGACTCAATCTTTACTAGTTTACTCCTGAAAGCATTATTTTTGTTAACTGTGATTTTAATGAAAGTTGACAGAAAAGTTGGATTTTCATTCATTTATTGTTGCACATTTTCCTCCCTACCCACCCCAGTTCACTTAAAAAAAATTCATTCATTTTTGCATAATTTCCTTCCCTCTCCCCAGTCCACTTTGTTATGCCCCTCTTATTCTGGACTGTTACCATATAAACAGTGCCTAATTATTGTTTTAAAACCATTATTCTTAAACATTTCTCCCAGGGAAACAGTCTATCTGCAAACATTTCTAACTATGACGTGAAAGATCAATGCATTCGAATCAATGTGACTGAATTATAAAGTGAGGTTTGAATCAGTAACGTTTGGTATTGCTTACTTACAATAATTTCTGCAACGTCCGCTGTTGGTAGACTTCATTTGTGCAGTATTTCACGTAGGGGTCAAACGTGGACGCTGTGTGTTTTTCTACAATGTCACTTATATCGTCAATGAAGATATTATTCTGATGCCTGGCTTCCAACTCCATAAAGAATCTGAAAAGACAAAACAAAAGACTGTAACTATCTTCCATGTATTTCAAAAGACAACAAATTCTCTACACATGCTTGTATCATACAGAACTTGAAAACATCCATAGGACACAGTACCAACTAAGTGCCTCAGTTACTGAGTGATGTCATCATAGAAATACCAGAAATAGAGGTCTTTCCAAAAAACAGCAAGTTTTCTCACAGGTGGTTGTTGGTAGGTGCCGCTGGGTCAACTGTAATGGGTTTGAACCATGCTCTACCTTGTGCCATCCTCATCATCTCTGCTACACTAGAGATCCCACTATTAAAGTTGTTCTGTGAATTCATCTCACTGAGGGTCTTCACTTCCTCAGTGACCCTCCACTTTGCTGAGCATGATGTCCTTTTTCAAGACCTGGCCCTTCCTAAAAACCAAAGTCTGTGAGACAAAGTTTCACCATCCTTCCCTCTATGGACTACTTTGTCTGAGCCCTCTCCAAGCCATATCTGTTTGTTCTCTTGCCAGTCAATGGGATATTTAGCACCCTTTTCCAATACCACAATTCAGAGGCAATTATTCTGCTGTCATCTTTATTCATTGTCCAACTCTCTATGCCTAACAAGTAATTGAAAAAAGAAAAAAGAACATGGCTTGGCTCAGATGCACCTTAGTCTTCAAAGTGATATCATTGCTCCTTAATAATGTAGAGAGGCTCCTGACAGCACACCTGCCCAAGGTAATACATCTCCTCATCGCCTGACTGCTGGTACCAAGGATACCAAGGAAGATGAAATCACTGACTATTCAATCTTTTCTCCGCCTATCACGATGCTGTGTATCAATCCAGTGGTGAGGATTTCTGTCTAATTGATATTAAGATGCAATTCACACTGAAAGCTGTACATAATCTCGGATTTTCTGCAGTAAGCATTTCAAATCCACTTCACGTTCAGCAAGCAAAATTGTGTCATCTACATAACACAGGTTATTGTTGAGTTTTCCTCAGATCCTGATGCCACATTCTTCTTCACTGAGTTCAGCTTCTCGGAAGATTTGCTGGGCATAGAAACTGAACAGGAATGGAGAAAGGATACCATCTTAATGCACGCTTTTCTTGAGTTTACCTTCCTGGCCAATAAACTAGAGGAGATCTGTATTTGTTCCCAATGCGATTCAGTAGAATTTCACAGGTTAGTAGGTTAGAATGCCAAATACAGATACAGAGCACTGGCTCCAGGGAAGGCTTTCTTGACCTTCCACTCCAGAGTAAGTCTTGTCTCTTCTGAGCTCTCTTCAGGAGATTTAGCACATAACTTCTCCATCCCACTTGCTGGTTTGCATGTAATCTCTTTTCCATTTTAAAAGAGATTGACTCAAAAGACCATCTATCCTAATCCTGTATCATTAACGCATTCCCAAATAGGATTATGACCACAGGAATGCTGATCTCTGGTGCCCAACCAACACCCCCTCCCCAGTTAGTTCACGCTTCTCTTTGAAAGGAAAAATTCTTTCATTGTTATACAGACCCTCCCGCCAAGTCCACTCCACTATGCAGCCTTCATTCTGGACTCCTGTCATCACAGTAATACCTATTTTTTAAAATTTTTTTATTATTATTAATTTTAATGAAAATTTACAGAGACTTTCGATTTCCATTTCATTGTTGCACTCCCCCCCCACCCCCGCACACCTCAGTTCACTCTTCTCTTTGAAAAGTAAAAGAAAAATTCTTTCATTGTTATACAGTCTCTCCCCACAAGTCCACTCTACTATGCACCCTTCACTCTGGACTCCTGTCATGACGATAATACCTAATCATATATCCCCTTTAAACAGTTCGCTCCCTCATCTGTTTCAACACAGAATACAATAATACTTATTTTTAATAGTGTCAATGTCAAAGCAGAATGTGCTTGGCTTTGTTTATTTTATATTTAAATTAAAGGTGGTTGATATAGGCTGTTGAGTTCAGAATCAACTCATGGCAGCCTTTCCATTGGGTTTCCAGAGGCTACAAATTGCACAGGAGAAAGTTGCTCATCTTTCTCCCACAGAAATTGGTAGATTTAAACCGCCTCGCCTGCCTTTCAGTTAACAATGCAACTCCTTTCCACTGAGCCATCAGAACGAATCCCCTAAAGTCAGTAATATTTTTAAATCCATTACACTGGCAAATCTTTTATGGTGATAAATGAAATCTTCCTTTTCCTTGAAAAAAGCCAAGTTGCTGTTGTTTTTGGTTTTACAATTGCATTCCTTCAAGCTTTTAACAGCTAAAGACAGGAACTTTAACAGAGACTCCCTCTAAGATATTTTTTTTTCTAGAATTACATAATAATGACTTTCTACGTGGTTTTTATTTTATAAACTTTTCTTTAGACACTGCCATAAAACATGTACAGAAACGTACTTGTTAAAATGAAGAACAAATTCTTTGCCTTTATTTGAAAACCAGCTAAAAAATGTGGTTATTATCTGTCCTTGAGTCAGCTCCCAACTGCGACCCCAGGTACGGGGAGTTTGGACCATCGTGACCCGTGCATTCATTGCTGACCTGCAAGGGGACCACTGTGCCTTTATTCCTGGTCTCCTAGTCTGGAAGCTCCGCTGTGTCTGCTGAGTATTCCCTACATACAAGCCTGCCCTGACTTAGGCTGGTGGCTGTGGAAAGCAGCACTGGCCCAGAATGCAACTTACACGTCCCACACAGAAGGGAAACATTCTCCCCCTGCATCTACTACAGTCTGGCTCACAACTGTGTTTTCAGCCATACATACATATTATGCATCAGAGATCTGGACAATGACCAGGGAGGATAGAAGGAGAATTGATGCCTTTGAGCTGTGGTGCTGGAGAAGAGTATTGAATGTACCGTGGACTGCTAAGAAAACAAACAGATTCATCCCGGAGAGGGTTAAACCAGGCTGCTCCTTGGAGGCAAGGATTCTGGGACTTCGTCTAACATACTTTGGGTACGTTGTAAGGAGGGACAGGTCCTTGGAGAGGGACATCATGCTTGGTAGGGTGGAGGGACAGCACAGGAGGGGAAGGCCCTCTATGAGGTGGACTGATTCAGTGACTGGGGTAATCGGGATGGGTGTATCAGAGGCAGTGCAATTGGCACAGGACAGAGCAGGGTTTAGGGCTGTTGTACATAGGGTCGCTATGAGTCACAAGTGACTCAACGGCACATTACAACAAGCAAAACTAATATGCAAGGTAAGTATGTTTTTGGTGAAACATTCTTGTAGGTCGTGTAACCCTGGTATGTCCACTTGCTATAGAGAGGTAACTTGTGGTTGCTATGAAGCCAAACACTGTGACATTGATGAGTCAAATGAGTTAAGCTCCCCGATTAAAACAAGCTTGGAAGCAGGAGTGGCATCCACTTCCATAACAGCTTGCCTCTGGAAACCCTATGAACCTGGAGAAAGGACGAAAGTTATACAGGAAGTGTCCAGGACTTTCGTTCACAGGGTCGCTATGAGTTGCCTGAGACTCGACGGCATTTAACAACAACAAATAAGTACCAGCAAGCTATGTGGGGAAACGCTTCCCTTATGGTACCAACAGAACATTCTAGAGTGTACGGAAGTGGATTCAGATTCTGCTGTAGATGAGATCTGGGTAGATGTGGGTTTACTGAGGTTTTGTATGTGTAGTTTTTGTTGTTTGGGTTTTTTCTTAGTGGTCAGTGATCAGAATCAACTGCTCTGAACACAACTGGTCCAGGGAAGGCAGACCTAGCCTGAGGGTCACCCAAACACACAGGCATCACAGATACTCCGGGGTGTTCTGTGCTGGGAAGCAGCATCCTTGCTGCCACTTTGAGTCAAAGTGACGAGCAAGTGCAAACCTGTCCATGTCTAAACAGACCAACACTGACAGGAAATGTGTTCAGTCCCCAAACAGAAGGAAAAACACAGCCGTTGCTTCCTGATCAAAATATTCTATGTCCTAAGACATATGTCCTAAGACTTATACTCTAAGTCTAGAGACAAAGGTGAGCCTGATCCAGGCCATGGTTTTCTCAATTACTTGTTATGCTTCAGAGAGCTGGACAGTGACTAAGGATGACAGAAGAAGAATGGATGTCTTCGAGTTGAGGTGCTGGAGAAGAGTCCTGAACATATCATGGACTGCCAGGAAAACAAATTGGTCTGTCTTGGGGAGGGTGAAACCAAGTCTCTCCTCCCGTAGGCTAGGATTTTGAAGCTCCATCTCAATTACTTTGGCCACGTCTGGAAAAGGGCATCATGCTCGGAAGGGTGGACAGACAGTACAGGAGAGGAAGACCCCAGATGAGATGGATTGATACAGTAACTGGGGCTCAGGACAGGGTAGGGTTCAGAGCTGCTATACATAGGGTCGCTATGCATTGCAGGTGACTCAATGGCACATAACAACAATAACGCACTATGACAGATTTGGAAGCAGGAGTGGCATCCACTTCCTAAACAACATGCCTCCGGAAACTCTATGAACTTTGATGAATGTCAATAGTTGTAGAAGGGACTTCAGGCCTTTTGTTCATAGGGTCTCTATGAGTCATGCTTGACTCGACAGCAATCAACAACAACAGTTTAGAATTAAGACAAAACCCCTACAGCAACCAAAACCAAAACCATGACAAATGTGATTAGAGAAGGCAATATAAACTTTATCTTTGATAATATACAAGCATTGAAACAAAATTCAAATGGTAAAAGGAGAAGACAGGATTATTACTTGATTAATGAATCAAGTAACAGAAATTAATGTCTATGAGAAGTCTGACAATCAGACAACTACAACAATCTGCTGAAGGTTCAATGACGTTTTCTCCTCTGGAGACTGTCTTCTCACATTCTATTTTGACTTTTTCTCCTTTAGTTTTACCTTGGATTAAGCCTAAGGGTCAAGATGAATTAAAAGTGGTTGAGAGTTGAAGAGAAAGGATTGTCAACAAAATGCTCTGGTAGCCTTCACTCCATTCTGATAGCCACTGACTGATCCTTTAAAACTCTAGAGTGGTTTCTGC